AGGAAGTTTGGTCTACTGAAGGTTGCAGTATAAGTAATTGCTCATTAATAGAAGTAGTATGTGAATGCAATCATCTAACAAATTTTGCCTTGTTATTGAATGTTGCTCAATCAGTAGAAATGTCTAATAATGTATTCCTTGAAGTTATTACATGGATTGGCTGTGGGTTGTCAATTGCTGGATTATTTCTAACTATTATCAGCTATTCTGCTTTTTCGTAAGTTTTATAGTAATCTTCATTTATATCATGTTTTGTAATTGAAATAAATTCTTATTACCCAACTAAAACAAGCTTAAATGTAAAGTTTATAGTTGAATGTAATTATAATTTAATCTTAATTTCACTCTAATTCCCTTAATGCATCATTATTATGCATTTTAAATTTTGATGCCTTTTTTTAAATTTAACATTATTTGAATCAGTATTTTTTAAAGGAACTGATTTCCTTAAAACTTCTTGAGCAAATCTGCCCTTTTAAAAAACACTAATAACTAAACTATAAAGCAAATCTACTTCATAGTTAATACTTCATCTACTTCATAGTTTACTTAGAAAATTGCTGCATTACATTACACAGTGGCCCAGGTGGTGGACAAAACATAAAAAATAAATGGTTTTTATATTCCAAACCTTATAATAAAACATATTTGTAATATTCCCATTTAAAATTTTCAAAATTGTTATGAGTATAATAGTATCTTATAAAACCGCAAATATCAGTTGCGGTTTGATGTATAATGAAATTTTTTTTTTTGTAAAAGCCTGAAATTTTTTTTTTTTAATGCATAGCTATATAATAAACAGTAACTTTTATTTTATGAGCTTACAGGATTAGCTTATATACTTAAACTATTTAACAGTAAAGCGTACGAAAAAATATATAATTTAAAGAAAAGATAATACACTTATAATCTGGCTTTAAAATAACAAGGTAAATTTTAACATTTAATACTTTTATTTTGTTCAAAAAGTGTCACATAATTTACAGAACCTAGAAAAACCTATATTGAGTACTTGAACTAGTAAATGTAATATGTATATAACATATTTGAACTATATAGATTGCCCCTAACTTTCCCTTTTGGGTTTCTTTAACATTTTAAAATAATGACTTGTAACTTATGTTATTTACTTGAAATCAACTTTTATTTCTCATAAACAAAAATACATGTTATCTTGTTTATTATTTTCTTCAATACAAATATTTTTGTTTATTTGTTTAGTAATAATACAAAAAATGGGGACATTTACAGATTTATACGACAAAATAAGCTAGTTCCTAATAATATACCATTCTTTTTGTCAAAATTAACTGTTTTAGTTTCTGCAGATATTAAACTAGAGAATTCTAAGTGAAAAACTTTATAAAATTACAATCTAAAAAGTTGATCGCTGCAAACAATGATAACACTCATTTTGAGAGAAGTAATGAAAATTGGCTGGCTCAAGAATGCTATATCATCTGGTAATAATGTTGGAAAATCATGTTGCTCTTTCGAAAAAGTTTGTAACATAACAAATAGATTAAACTTAACATTGTTTTTTTAACATTTTATTTAGACATAAATTACATCATGCAACAAAATTGATACGGAGAAGTGAGTTTAAGTACAAAACTGGCACAAAAATTTCTGTTATTTATAATAAAAACCTTATTAAATATGCTTAGATATATTCATCTGATGAAGCTTTAGCATTCAATATTAATGGTGATATATCAAAAGCAACATACCAGATTCTAAGAGATGGTGCTGAAAAAACGCCTTACATATCTTTTATATAAAGGTATAGGATCTTCACAAGCTAAATGTTATCTCAAGAACACTTGATATTTCAGTAAAAATACTGCTAAAAGATCTTCTAAAATACACTCTTAAAAAGCTATGTGGTATACAAACTACTTTGATAATCGCAATGCTAAGGAATTAACAAAACTGATATTTAGATACTAGGCTGGTTTTGATAGTGCTACAGTATATAGTGTTTACAAACAGGTAAGTCAAAATGAAAATAGTGACGAATGAAGAGTGCCTGTTAATTATTTGCATAGTATTACTAGAACTCAGTAGACTTTATAATTATAAAATCGTTATAATTATAAAATAATTATAAAATATTATTTATCCGGAATGTGCGGCTAATAAATTAAAAATAAATAAATAATTCATATTTATATATAAATATATTTATATATAAATATAAAAAATAATTTATAGATTTATTCAAAACGTTGTGCGCATATAATAATATCAGTAATAGAGTAACAAATCTATATATTCATTTATATTTTCTATATATTCATTTATATTTTCTATATATTTCTATATATTTATCTATATATTTCAAATCTATTGTATAATATCAATAATAGAGTTTCAAATCAAGTGATAAATTTTCATTTTTTTATGAAGCGCGCATTTTTATATTTAAAGTTTGTTGCACTAATTTTTTTTTTTTAAGTTTATTCCACCAGAAGAGATTGTTATTTAGATCCACGATTTTAAGAAGTTATAGAATTTGAAATTAAAAAATTGCAAATCGGCATTTTAAAAGTTTTATAAAGTTTGTTGAATAAATTATAGAATTAGCAAATATTCTTTGGACATATAAAGGGTTTTAGTAAAAAAAAAAAAAAATCAATATAATTTTGTCCACCATGTCTTATATCCAGCCTACTGTGCATTATTTTAAAAATTTTACAATACTGCTCAACAATTCATGTTGTTGAAAAAGTTTTTTACCCAGTCACAGTTCATTTACAAGTTTGTGTCTTGGCAAAAATAATATATAAACAAATTGTGACTGTGTACAAAATTGTTTCAATATGTTTATTGCTAAGCAGTTAAAATATTTTTTTTGGGTTTACAAATCTAGCATCAATAAACTGTTTTAAAAGTGAAACAGAAATAATTTTTATTGAAATTTTTAAAAAAGACTTATATTTAGAAGCAAAAAGTAAATTTATCAAATCTTTTTTCAAAAAATTTTATATTTTTGTTCTGAGACCAGCAAAAAAAGGTTTCACAAGAAACATCATCATGTTAAAAAAGCAATGTTGTTTATGGTGTCCCTTTTTATGTACACTCTCAGGGCCACAAAAGGATCTTTTTTCTACTTTAGGATTTGCAGGAATGATGTATATTAATTTTTTTTTTACTTGAAGTGCCATACAATATATCTGAATCAAGTTCTTTTTAAGTTAAAATTATAGTTAAGTGAATATATTAAGCAAAAAGTTATTAAACTAAAAATATTTGAAAAAAATAAATATTGCTATCAACGAAAATTTTCAATCTTTCCTTTACAAATATCCTTTAAAGTAACTTTTTATTTATTGGATCATACTGTCTGCAAAATTCAAACTTGCTTTTATCACAACAAATTAAAACTCGGTTGTCTTCTTTTTGAATCGTAGTGTTGATGGCTTTAATTAACAAAGCCTTCAATAGTCACATGCTTGTTTTAGGCTTTTATGTATTAATTCACCAATTTCTTTAGAAAAACTGATTAAAAAATAAATAGTAAAAAATTTGGTTTGAATTCTTTGTTTATTTGTATATGTGCTTTTGTTAAGCGTCACTTCAGTTAAGAAGTTTTATTTTAATTTTTATATTTTATTGCTTTTTTTCTTAACAAGACTGAACTTTTTAAAATTTTATTTCTGAACTAATTAATAAGGGTAATTAAATTGAGTTAATTATAATAATGGAATTATTATTGTGTAAGATTTTTGTAGAGTAATTAAGAAAGTTTTTTTCAATACAATTTTTATTACTGCACTCAATAAACTTTTCAAAAAATCATATAATATTATATAAAATAACTAATCAATTGCAATGGTAATCTTGTTTACATTTGGCCATAAAATAGCATCTGGGAATTCGAATTTTAAAAATTTTGAAGAATGTACTGATCTTTTGAACTACTGCCCAATAAATCTTTTCACTATTGAAAAGTACATGAATCTTTTTTAATCAAACATTAAATATCTCTTCACGAATCTAACACGTTACTCTCTGACAATCAATACATGTTTCAATGTTCTACTGTTGAATTGATAATATTATGAAAAAAGTGTTTTATCTTGCTATAGAGAGAAGCGATGAGGCAAAGGTTATTGGTCTTAAAATATCAAATGCTTCCTATAATATTTGGTTCTCTCTCTTTTCCTCCTCCTCCGTTGTTGTTGTTGAGAGAGATCTCTCTCTTTTCCTCCTCCTCCGTTGTTGTTGTTGAGAGAGA